AGAGAGATACACAAGGTGAGATTAAAAGAGAGGAGTAGATGTTCAAATATTAAAAACAACAGGTGATAAGTAGTATATGGAAGCAGAGAGCGGCCCTGTTGCAATTATTTTTTTAATGCTGTTATCTTGAGATCATTACTAAGAAAAAAGAGAAAAAAACATTATAATTTCATAGAATCAAGAAAATATCAGAAAACAAACCTTTGGGCCTGTGTGTATGGTTGTGTGTGTTTGACCCAGAGATTTTGAGTGTGTGTGTGTGTTTGGTGTTATGTGTGTGTATTCTAAGAGGATTAAGGAATGTGTTTTTAGCCAAGAATGTGTGTGTGTGTGTGTGTTGTGATCTCTAGAAAACAAAAGGCAGATTTCTTCGAGATAATAACATTTTTATTTATTATGAGAAACTTACTTTTGTTTTTGCTCCAAAGATAATGATGGATAATAAGGTGAAAACTTGGAGGAAATGATGTTGTGGTTGGTTCACTTTCAAAGATCACTGCACGAAACTTCGTGAAAAGAGTTACCATAATGAAGATCTGAGAGTTAATTTTAGGTGTTAGTTTCGTGGCAATGTGATGCCATACTGACTAAATACAACAAAAGAAGACTGAGATTTATTAAATGAGCTCAAGGAACCCTGTGCCTTGAAACTTGACATGGCCAGAATAAATTAGTGAAACTCAGATGAGTCAACTTTGTCCTGAAAATCTGTGTGTGATCTTTGGTTAATCAACATTAGAACAAGTTGTGAATAAATAAAATAGTTGCAAGCACGGCTGTGTCAGCTTCCATAGGAGCAGGAAGAGGGAATAATATGTCAGTTATAAACTTACACCACTTGCACACAGAGAAGTGTAAGAATCAATCTTTTCACAGACTGACTACAAAAGGAGGACATGTATGAAAACGTCAGAATCTAACAAAGAGTCACACACTGAAGTTCTACTTACGTTTGGCATCAAACATCTTGAATTTGACGAAGCCAGGCACGTCATGCTCCGTACACAGCTGCCAAAACACACACAGCAGCCAATGTATGAGTAAAGCTGCATTATAACTTAGACGTAAAACCTAAGTTTTACTAACAGTAAGTATTTGTTTCAATATAATGCACGCAGCGCATGCATACCTGCATGATATTGAAACAAGTATAAGAGAAAGAAGTATTCTACAATGTATATGATGTTAATTTAATTGATTTATTTCATTTAAAAAAAACATTTTTAACAATTCCCTTTGCATACCACTAGAGGGAGCTTGTGTCCCGCCAGTGGTACATGTACCATGGTTTGAAAACCAGTAAACTATGCAATATAAACTGTTAATCAAGGAAAATTACATATTCTTTGGCAAATCTGTATTGCACATACAGAGTCTAAGAGATCAGCACTGTCACCACAACAAAAAGGTCCTGAGTTTGACTCTGTGTGTAAGAAACAATGAGTTCATACTTTATGTATCAGCATTTATGTTTTAGAAATATATGTGAATATCTGTTAGAATATATTGGATATTTATGAAAATGGCTATTTTTCTATATTTAGAAATATATTTACATTTACGAGATTTAATAGTTAATTGGTGAGAGACATACATTGACATAAATATTACATATGTAGTTTAAACCTACAACGAGGAGGTTTAAACTGGTTACGAAACAGTCTCAATTTAATAGTCATGCCTCTCTATGACCTACATAAACTAACGACACCCTCAACGAGAAGATTGCCCATTTAAATATAGTTATTCCTAATTTCTGCCACCAGGTCGTCTTCAGTCAGATTCCCATTGAAATCAATGAAACAAGCCAGTGGAAACACTGCTGCTTTTGTCCACAGGGGCCACCAGAATCAACACAAAAAGAAAGTTCTTTGTGGAGCTTTAACCAGATTAATATCAGAGTGCTTTCATTGTTTTTATGTGTTAAACTAAAACCTAAAACAGGACAATGGTCAGACAGGAGTAGCATACCCTCAGTAGGTGGTCCTGTGATATGCATGGAGGAACGTTGTAGTAGTGTAGCACTGCAGATGGAGGCTGGATGATGTTTTTAGAAGCCTGTCCGGCGCTGCTGAAGCGGTTGTTTCTGGTCATGGCAAAGTCCTTATAGCTGCTGCTGCCGTCCTCTAACTCAAACACCTGACTGGGGATCACTGCGTGCTGCTTAGACACACTGCACACAACACCACACTGTGTTACTGTCTGATCAAAATACATGCATCTGAGCAACAATACCATAAACCCATGCACAACATGTCACAGATCAGGCGTGTAGGCAGTCATGAGACAGCATTATTCAGTGTTGGGATTATGAACCGTAGAGTGCCACCCAGAGGATAACAGTACTCATTTACTAAAGTATTTCAACAAAGGCTCATACACACAAAGGAGATGGTGAAAGATATGAACTGTATGCATGTGTGTGTATTGATCCACTTCTCACCAAACGTTGAGTCTTTTGCCAAACACCTTGATGCTGTTAAGGTGTGTGATGGCTCTGTCCACAGCATACTCATCTCCCATCTCAACCAATGCTGTACCAGGAACACTCTTCATAAACTTTACCTACAACCACACACACTCACAGTTAACAGCTGTCCATAAAAGCAACATTTATTAACACACCAGATGTAACATATACTAAAAAATTCATGACAGTAAAAGACTGACCATAAAACCCTAAATCTCATGGCAAAACCTTTATTTATACAGCATTTTAAAGGAATGTATATGGAATAAAGAAGTTTTCTTATATTACGGACTGTAAATTGCACGGAAAATCTCATGGCAAGAGCCGTTTTATACAGCATTCACACGGTATTTCCATGTGGCAAAATTGTTTATTTTGATGGTATTTATACAGTACAATATGGAATAAAACCGGAACAGTAGAAATGTTCTACTGTATTTCTAAAGTTCTGGCAATTACAGCTGCCTTTACAGTTAATTCATGTTTTTTTACAATGTAATGAGTCTTTAAAGGACTAGTTCACAATTTTTCTAAAAGCTGGGCATTTTAATATGGGGCCTCATGGAGATTGACTTACTGCTGGAGCCAGTGTCTAGTGGCCATTAAAGGAACTGCAGTTTTTGGCACTTGTGTGTTGGCTACATTTGCAGCCACAGAGGTTGCTGCTTAGTTTCTAGCAATATTAGACAGAGGATGTCCCAAAAAATTACATAAAGTTTTACTGTGGATTTGAAAGCTTGGAGTAGTCCTTTCAGTGTAATGGCACAGTGTAGTTGCATAAATTCTTCTGAGGATAATGTAAATATGTCTAGAACATGACAGTTATTATCAGAGAGTGTGGAATTCCTGCATCCTAATCATCCAAACAGCAGTGATTGGTCTGACAGCACATTTACTTCTGTTTCTATAATAATGTCAGAGCCTTTAATTACACACACACACACATACACACACACATACATACACACATACATACACATACACACACTCACCAATCCTACCTTCTCAATGTTTCCGTAGAGGCAGAAGAGGTTGAAGATGCGGGTGCAGTTCATCTTGGATGGATGAAGGCCGCTCACCATGGCAACAGAGCTAGGGGCGTGGCCAGAGTACGAGGAGGATGACTGGGGCAGAGGGTAGGACACCATGTCTGGAACGTCTACTGAGGTGAGCTTGTACCTGCTGTTGCCAGGCAGAGGCAGCAGGGGGCAGGGTGAACCTGAGGAGGCAGGGCTCTCAGTTCACTTCAGCTCAATAAACATTTACTGAAAATGACAGTGCTTCCTGGCTGTGCTGCAGCAGAGAACGGAAACATGAAGAGGGAATTTTGTCCCAAGAAGATCCCCACTTGATGTGGATGAGTATTATATTAAAATAGACCTGAAGTGAATCCATTTA